CTGCTAGGTTGATGATCTAACTGGCAAGGCTCTAGGACTGGCTTTTCAGGCTACCTTTAGAATATCGACATCAGGTTTCTCTTCCCCAAAACCGTGAGCTGGTGATTGAGCTGCACACAGGTAGTTGGTCTTCTTCAATTGTGGTTGTGTCTCACAAGGTGTGTCATGAAATAAACGTGAAGCAGTATGAGCAAGATTCAGAGGAGGGATGCAGGAATGGAAGAAATAATCCAAAGTGATACAACTAACTATGGATCCAATAATTAGAAATTTTTATACGAACTTTATATAATATGAAATGATAATGTATATAAGGAAATATATAATCTACAAGAAAATAAATTTATAGAATCGATTCTATGAATTATATCCTACGATTTTTACAAATTTTAACTGAGAATAAAAAAATAGTTTGACTTATTGAAATTTATTAAGTGATTGAAATTGCTGTGGTAGGAAAAATTGTACTCTCAATATTTTTTTCCAATTGAAAGAAAATGACTGATAATAGTAAAAATTACTGATGATACAAAATTACTGATTAGGTACAAATTATGACCATGGACTGAAATGGTACTAATTAAGTATATCTGTTACTTAAACAAATAATGTTCAAAGGAAACTTTCCATGAAATAGCAAAAATTGTCTTAAATCAATTGGATAAAATTGATATCACTCAATATGTGAAGATTCTATTCGAAAGAGTGAAGTACTTCTTCAAAAGTGAGGAAAATAACATCAAATAATTGATAGTAAATTTGAAAATAATTCCAGATAACGAGGCACTTCTAGAAAAATGAGGAAATTATATCAAGAAAATTGATAACTATTGAGAAAAATTCACATAAAATATTCCACAAAAAATAACTGATCTCAAGACAATTTCTGGTATTATTTCATATGAAAATTATATTGAAAAGATAAAGAAATATTTCTCAAGGATAGCTCAAGAAAATCGGTTAAAGGGTTTGCACTTTGAGACAGGTGACCATTACATAGCTGTTAACTTTATCTTGCAGTGTCTCGAAATGTGATAACACAGAGGAACCACCAAGTACAGTAGTGAATCAGGGTTCTAGCAGAAAACACCACCGGAATGAATTTCAAGCCCTTCAAATGTGGCAATTAGCCAGTACCATAACCAACAAATAGGCAGTAACTGAACTTGAAACTCTAGAGGCTGATGCTCACTACCAAAACACCGACTCAGGCCTGCAAAGGACAGTTTCCTGACAATATCAAAAAAAATGTGAATAATTCACCAAAAAAACTCTATGAAATATGCTATACTGAAGAATGTGAATACAACTTAATCAAAGATATTATACCAACTTTAAAAAATTCACCAGTACAAGAGAAGAACTATAATAAATGTATGTGAATGCCCCAATTATATGAACTCTGTGAATACTTCACCAAGAAAACTATATGAACCCTAGTATATGAAATCAGTGAAAAGTGCAAGTTATGCCAACAGGACGGACAACTACGTCTGTGGTGTAGGAGAGTGGAGTCTCACTTATGGATATGATCCGTGAAATTGTTTGATCTACTAATGATTGCTTATTAAATTGAAAATCCACTCACCTTACACTCAGCGTAGTACTTCAATAGGTCCTTTCCTGGTTACACACTCCTTGGGTTCAAATTTTCCAGAATCTCTCCTTGGATTATAATCCCTTCTGTCTGATAACACTTCAAATAACACGTGTGTAGTACTTCAGATAGCACGTGGATAGTACCTCAGAGAGCACGTGGATAGTACCTCAGAGAGCACGTGGATAGCACTGAAAAATGATCACAACGACAGAACAAATCTATGGCACAGTAGCTGTCTCAAAAAAATTGCAATGATATCAGAAAAAAATGGTTTTATTCAGTCCCAGAAACCTCTATCATCATATAAATGAAAAGCACGTGCAACTAATAAATTTAATGTTGAGTGAAAGCCAGGCAGGAATGATATTTAATTCAAAAAGTTATGTGCAAGGAACATTCTGTGAACTCAATGATCTTTACTCAAATCATAAGTCAGACATGTGTGACCATGCCTGATCTGGAAAATATTCAATTTCTCCAAAAATAGCAGGAAAAGAAAAAAATAACTACCAAATTTGCTACTATACGAGAAACTGCAAACAATTAACAGCTAGTATTCAGACAATGATTGAAAATTAAGAAAGTGCAAAAGGGAATGGTTTTACCTGTCTCAAGTCACAAAACCTTCAAGTCAACTCTTCCAGTCGAGAGCCAAATCAAGAGAGAGCTAAAATCTTCAATTCTCCATCATATCGATTCCAAAAAAAAAGGTTTTTTTTTATAAATTTGATGTTTACTTTTTCCAAATATCATACTCTATCTGATGAAGTGAGATGGACAATCCTCCGTTTACCAACCCAACAAATAAATTATGTTTTGACACAGAACACGAAACCAAGATGATAGATTGACCACGGAACATAAATCAAACTCATGGAACTTGCGGATATTTCAAGCAGTGGGAGTCATTCGCCTGACAAACGTTAGCAATCTTGAAATTGGAGATGATACTTACGGTGTCACAGAACTATTGGCGAGAGTAAATGATATTTGTGGGTACTGCACTACATGAAACGCACTATCGGACTAGAGGCACAGAATACAGAGATGTGATTAGTAGAAATGTAACGACAAATTCAATTTTTCGTTACATCTGTTTGGTAGAAACAAAACGTTGTTGTCCAGCTCGATAAGAATGATTTTATCATATCGCATCTTGACGACACCCACTGAACTATAGGATACGGTGTATCAGCATGCATATCGAACAACTTGAGGAATTATTTTCTACTCAAAGATCCTTACTTATTAATTGCATCGAGATCCATCTGCAATGAAGATGGAAATATTGTAGGGATGATCAAATCATCTTCAAAAGTTAAACCGAATCGTACACATCGATGGGACAATTACTCACCCACCCTGAGAATGTTTCATGTTGGTTTTCACAAGTTTAAGAAGAACGTTCACAATGCAATGTTTTCCACTTTATCTTCTATTTCTTTTTTCACCTTTTTTGAGCCCTCATTATAATAAATTATTCAGATTATCTTCTCGTTTGTACACATTTTTTTACGGATAATCACCGATTAGCAATATAACTGACGCATATCATTATATCGCCAATTTGTTTTTCCA